CTCCCCCTCCTCCTCCTCCTCCTCCTCCTCCTCCTCCTCCTCCATCCCCTCCTCCTCCGAGAGACAGGCTCCGCAGGCGGCAGGCTGGCGGAGAGGCGATGAGCCCCCCCCCCCTCTCGCAGATGTTGACAGGCTTGGGCTCGGGGAGGACGTGGCCAGGGCCGTCTCGAGGCAGCGCCCACCCTCGACATGCCGCCTGCATGTCCTTATCTCGCGACGTCCGTGCCTCGTGTGGCCTCGCGCGCGTGCTTCTGTTCTCGAGGTGGCCCCCGCTGCTCCCATCGGGGATCTCCTGGCCGGGGTCGATCCAGGCGCGGGTCAGTCAGGCCTTGCAGAGTCCTGCAAGATCCTGCAAGATCCTGCACCCAGGCCCGGGTCGATACGAAGGACCCTGCAAGATCCTGCAGGATCCTGCACCCAAGCCCAGGTCAATGCGACCCTGGCCCTGCTGGGAGAACAAAAAGCCGACACCAGCACCAAGAAAGTATTTGTTTCACGAAATGTCGAATTGCGTTTTGGACCAGCGCGAGCCCGCCCTGGCCCGAGGAATCGCAGAGTGGGCGAGGAGGACGGGGGAAGGGAGACGTCGCGCAGCACGAAGGAGGGAAAGCAGGAAATAACAAGTGCAAGCGAGAAGCGAAACTAGCGGGCGCTCTCGGGAGAAGAGGGAGAGAAGAGGGAAGGCTGCGGCATCCCCCATGGCTGAAGCTTCACTCCCCCCACCGCCGCCCTCCATCACGCCTACCCCCGCCCGCCCGCCCCCCTCTCATTCCCCCCACCCCTCACCCACCCTATGTCCGCCCGCGTCGCATCCCTGACCCTCGTCTGGCCCGACACCAAGGCCCGACGAGTTCGAATCCGCCGCTCTCTGCGAAAGGGGGGCGGTGGCCGCCCGTCGTGGCCTGGGCATAAGACCGTGGCCCCCTCTTGACCCAAGCCCGCAGCCCGTGGCAACCTTCCGAAATCGTCGAGGGGTTCAGCTCGCACATGGGGCCGCCGTTCCAGTGGGGGTCTTGGTGCTGGTGTCGGCTTTTTGATGTTGCAGGGAACAAAAAGCCGGCACCAGCACCAAGACGCCACTGGAAAAGTTCGGAGCGTTTTCCCTGTGGGGGCTGAGCGACCCAACGAAGCCAAGAAAGCTTGAGATGGCTCGCGTTGCTCTCCGACTTTGCAAGCCACGGTGCTTCCATAATAGGGAAACGTCCCATGCAGCTCATGGCGCCCCTGAGGCCCACGGGGCTCCCATGGCCTGCGGGGTTTCCAAGGCTCAGAAACCAGATGTGGCCCTGACGAGTCAGGGAGCCAATGGTGCCCGCGCGGCATGCTGGGCCAGCGCGGCGCGTTGGGCTTATGCGCGCTGCGGCGCACGTTCGGCCCATGAAGCCCTTTGTGGAACTTGTGGGGTTCATGGGGCTGGCTGGGTTCGCACGGCCCGCGGGACTCGCGCGGCCCATGGAAATCCTAACGCTCACTTGGGGAACTGGAGACGGCCCGTTATGTTCCCACGCGCTCAGAGCTGACATTCATCAACTCTGGACACGCGAACCCGAAGACACGGGCGACGGCATTCAACAGAGGCTGTAATGTTTCCTTTTCTAGTGGCTTCTTGGTGTTGGTGTCGGGTTCCTGTGCGCCGCTCTGGCAGACCCCCGTTTGCATTGACCCCGTCTCTTGGAGCCTTTTTTTGTTGTGAATACACTCGGGTAAATTTACTTGCATGGACGGCGGGGGGGGCCTGAGCCTGAAGCACGCTGAAAACAACTGGACGTGCGGACATCGTGCAAGTCGAACGGCACTTGCACGCTCGTCTTCGCTTGAAGAGAGCGAGTGGTGGTGGGTGGGGGTGGGGGGGGGCCATCGCCATGCAAGTAAACCTGCATGTTTCTAGCTAAACAAAAAAAAAAGCTCTTGAGCCCCGATCCGAGACGGCCCAGACTTTCCGGCGCCGGCCTCGCCGAAAGAGAGAGGAGAAGGAGGAGGAGGAGGAGGAGGAGGAGGAAGAGGAGGAGGAGGAGGAGGAGGAGGAGGAGGAGGAGGAGGAGGAGGAGGAGGAGGAGGGCCCGGGCGATGCCGAGGAGAACCCCTTGGCTCGCAGGGAACGGCGAAGAGCACGATGAGGCCGTGGCTCGCGCGCCCCCCCCCCCCCAACAAAACAAAAAGCAGGCCCTCCGCCGCGAGCCCTCCCTGGCGGGCGCCCCCGCGGGAGCAGGGGCCACCCGCGGCGGCACCCTGGCGCCAGATGCATCGGCGGGGCGGCGGGAATCGGGGCGCGCAGACATGGACTAGCGGTCCGTGGACCTGGCGCGCGGTCGCCAAATCCCTGGATCGGGGGAGGTGCCCTCCCCAAAAGGCGGCCGGTGCCGCCTCGTTCGGCGGCGGACATCCGCGATGTCCCATGGAAAGGGGCCCCGTCGCAAATCCACGCTCCCTTGATCCATGGTTGCGATCGCCTGAGCATCGGCGGGGCGGCGGACAGCGGCAAGGAAGACGTCTTGGAGCAAGGGAGCGCCGCGTGGCACCACCGACGCAAGCCCCCACGCGTCCCCGCCCCCTCCCCCATTCGCCTCACTCCTCCGTGCTCCCCGCCCCGCCCCGCCCTCCGCCCTCCCTCCGTCTCCTCTCCTCCCCAGGTCCCCTCCTCTCTTCCCCCCTCCGCCCTGTCCCCCCTCCCCCAGCCCTCCGCCCGCCCGCCCGTCAGTCCCCCTCCCCCCTCCACCCCTCCTCCGCCACTCGAGGCGGGGCATGTGCGAGGACTGGCACCTTCTGGTGTCCAGGCCGCGGGGGGGGGGACTGGCCCCTGAGCCCAGTGCCCGCCACCGCCCAGGAGGCCTACAAGGATGGGGCGGAGCGGAGTGGGGTGGGGGGAGGAGGAGGAGGAGGCTGATGAGGGCGGGAGGAGAGAAGCAGGGGGCGGAGGGGGGGGGGGGAAGGGGGCGAATCACGTGGGCAGGAGGAGAGAAGGAGGGAGGGGGCAAAGGGCGAGGGGAGGCAGGATGCAGTGCGGGTGGGGGAGCGGAGGAGGGAGGAGGGGGCGGAGAGGGGTGGGGGGGGGGGGCAGGCGGGGAGGCCGAGGGAGCGGCCGAGGGAGCAAGCAGGCGGAGCAGGACGTGGGGCCAGGGGGGAGCAGAGCGGGCGCGAGACGGAGGAAAAAGCGGGGATGGGCAGGAGCAGGAGCAGGAGGGCCTGAGCAGGAGGTGCACGGCAGGTGCTGCGAGCCCAGCGTGACGAGAGGGACCGCGCGCAGGAGGAAAAGGGCGGGCAGGGGGAGGGGCCGGAGGCGTAGAACACGGGGCGCTGAGCAAGAAAATAAGGGCGCCAAAACAAGATCCAAGGGGGCGCCGAGCAAAATCCCAGATGGCGGCACAAGAACAACTCCAGGGCGCCGAAGAGGAACACGGGAGCGGAGCAAGGATAAGACCCTGATGAAGGGCATGTTGAGCAGGGACCAACCACCCCGGCATTCCTCAAGGCCTACCACGAGATGCACTCAGAGCCCACGAACGTTCAAATAGCAAAAACACTGCTCTTAGAACATCAACCCGACGTGTTAAAACAAGGCAGTCCCATCCAGGGCTGTTCTAAGAACATTTCGTGCAGACCAGAAAAGGTTATCATTCCATTCTCTGGTTGGCCTACAGGCAAGCCAGAACGCTTCGCCATTGCTTGAGCATGGGAACAAGCAGGATCGGGGGGGGAGAGATGAGCAGGACCTCCTTTGGTGCGAAAACGCAGCCCGCGGCCAACACTGCAACCTCAGTGAAAACCGAGAAAGCTATCCGGTGGTCCTCCTTCAGCACAGGGTCCCGGCGGGGCGGAGTCCAAGGCGCGTTGGTACTACCCAAATACACGAACGCGACTTTGACCCGCCAAGCAAGAGCCCACCAACAAAAAATGAGATTGCGTGCGGCTCCGTGAACCGGCGCCGATTGCCCGTGAACCATGTGCATCTGCATGGGCGGACCTGTCTGGTCAGCATTGCCCAAGAGCGTGCATTCCGCGCGGGGCGAAGCTTCAAAGCGTCCAGAGGAGTAGAAGAGTAGACCATGGGCATCTGCCGGCACAATTTTCTATAGACCCTGAGATCCGACGGTGCAAACAAATTGTAGCATCGCGAAAAATCACCTCCAAAACCCTATAGAATTGATCATTCTGCGGCATGTTCCGGGCCGGAGTGATCTGTGATCGCCCTGGGGACCGAAACCCGACGAAAACGCTGGCGCATGCCCAAATCTGAAGGGGTATTGGACCCCAGAGATCCGATGTCGTGATTTTTTGGATACGGGGTCCCCGGAAGTCTCGACACATTCCCCAGGACCGGGTTTGCATCCTGAGTCGTTTGTTGACGGTCCCGAAGCCCGGTAAGGGCCCCTAAAGGCCGAAAATAGCGACAAATCCTGTCGTGTTTTTTCAATACGTTCGACCTCTGGGACCCCACGCCTCTCGAGCTTTCCTGGCCGTCTCCGGGGCCGGCGGTTCCTCCCGAGGTGTCCTCACTGGCGGCTCAGCAGCCGCGCACCCGCCTCCGAGGCGAGCCCTCGAAGGGCGAGACACCGGCCGCCTGTATCTGCTCAAGGTGCCATACGCCTGGGACCCAGAGCTATGCTACCCCCATCGTGCTCCAGGACCATATCCCCGAAATCATGCCGAGCACGCAAACAAACAATCATTGAAACAATGTCGAAGGAGCATCCCATCAGGTGTCGGTGCTTTCTTGGTTCTCGAGATTCATTCTGGTGATCGAGGCTGAAATTAAGTCGGGCGTGTCCCCCTACAGGGGTATTTCTGGCGAAAAAAAATGAATACTCAAAACATGCCCCCAAATTGTTAGAACAAATACTCAAAAAATAGTCCCCTGACTATTTTTTCTTCTATTTTGGGGTATTTTTGATTTCTCGTCGAAAACCCCCCTGTAGGGGGACACGCCCGACATCAGGCTAAGGTAGGCTGGAGCATCGGGAACCCAGGGGTGGAGGAGTGCCAGATGGGACACGAGGCCCGCGCAGCGGGCTCCACGAGGGTGCCTGCCTGCCGCGGGTGTGCTGCCTGCCGATTGAAAGGCGCAGGCGGGCCGAAGGTGTCCCCCGGCAGGCAGAGAGACTGGCCGTGTGCCGTGCAAGAGCTGAGGGGGACCGACCGTCCCGGCACTTCTATAGCCCCACCACGACATGTTCTTAGAGCCCAAACATTTTCTAAGAACAGAAGCAATGCTGTTAGAACAGAAGCCCGATGCGATGAAACAAAACAGACTCCGCCAGAAATGTTCTAAGAACATTCCGTGGAAACCACAAGAGGTTCTTAGAACAGTGTTTGGTAGGGCTATAGGCGAGCCAGGACGCTTCGCCACTGCTTGAAAGAGGAGGTGGGGGACTGGAACCTTGTGCCCAGAGAGCTGGCGTCGGATGCCCAGGCCGCGGGCGGGTGGCCTCGGGGGGATCATGCCCGCCCAGGAGGCTCACCAGCTGGAGGGCGGAGGCGGGCGAGGGGAGGAGGGGGGAGGGAGGAGGAGGAGGAGGAGGAGGAGGAGGAGGAGGAGGAGGAGGAAGAGGCGGGGAGGAGGAGGAGGGGAGGAGGAGGAGGGAGGAGGAGGAGGAGGGAGGAGGAGGAGGAGGAGGCGGGAGGAGGAGGAGGAGGAGGAGGAAGAGGAGAAGGAGGAGGAGGAGGCGGGAGGGGGAGAAGGAGGAGGGGGGGGGGGGGAGAGAGGAGGAGGCGGGGGGAGGAGGGGGAGGAGGAGGGGGGAGGAGGGAGGGGGAGGAGGAGGAGGATGAGGAGGAGGAGGAGGCGGGAGGAGGAGGAGGAGGGGCAAGAGGATGATGATGATGATGATGAGGAGGAGGAGCGCTCGGACGTCCACTCCACGTGCATTTGACCATGCCACGCGTGCATATTTTCGAAAGGTGCTCCAGCAGGTGCCTGGATGGTCCTCGCCACCCCCCCCCCCCAAGAGGAAAGTGCACACGTCCGAGCGATGCCAAGGAGGGGGGAGGGGGAGGCAGGAGGCATGGGGTGGGGAAGACGGCCGCGCCACGCCACGCCACGGGCGCGTGCAGCCGCAGCCTGTGCGCCCGCCGCCGTGCACGCAAACGGGCGCGGGTCGCGGGTAAATGCACTGTTTCACTGTCGGGGACGCCTGTCCCAGGGAGGCTGGAAAGTTTATACCCTTCCGGTGGCACCGCAGGGGTATAAACTTGCCAGCCGCCCAGAGGCAGGCGCCCCCGACGGCGGAACATTTTATGGTATGCCGTTCTTCGCCCGCTGAGTTTCGAGAGTCGAGGATGTACCTCCGAGCATCGAGGAATCAGGGAACGGGTCCTGGGGGAAGCCTTTGTTCGAGCCCCTGAGGCCCTCCAGGCGCCTCAAAGAGGGTCCCAGCCGTGCCCTTCCGCCGCCGCACGCCTGGGGGCGCGTCGCGGGAGGACGTGCAGGACAGCGAAGATTGAAATTCGAGGATAGAGGTTCGAAGATAGAGGTTCGAGGAAAGAGGTTCGAGGATAGAGGTTCGAGGATCATGGGGCGCTGACATTACCACGTCTGGATTGCACACGAGAGTCTGGTCAGAACGTATCCGTGGAGAGGTCCGAAGTCTGGGTCCAGAGTGGCCGGAGGACCCAGACATCTGGCGGCACAGAGGATGGCGGCGGCTGGCTCTCCGTCATCTCGGCGCTGGCAAGCTGGTTTCCGGCACCGAGACCGTGAGCAGAGCGCCTCATGGTGGAACGCCGGCCCTGAGGAAGGGATCGGGAGGCCTGAGAGGCCCGATAGACGCCTGGACTGGCTGCAGAGAAGCGAAGGATTGTCCAGTTCGGGGTGGGTAGTGGGCAGGAGGTTCTGGTCGGAGCGAACAGAGCGTGGTGCCAAAGACAAGGATCTACTGAGCGGCACCAGAGCTGCGGCCTGCATCGGGGAGACGTAAGACTCGTGTACGGGGGACTCAACGGGGCCATCAAAAACATGACGAGAAACGATCTGAAATTTGGCGCGAACTACCGCTGCATCAATCACACGAAAACTGGACCGTCAAAATCCAGGACGCGCTCGTCAAAAAAACGTCGGCATACCTGAGTTCCGGCTTACTCGAGTCTTACGTCTCCCCGACTGAAAGCGAGCGGGCACAACTCACGAGTGCCCCACAGGTGCGCGCCGCAAGTCAGCAGAGTTCGCAATGCTAGCGCGGCGGGTTGTGCCCCGACCGTGACTCCATCGAAAAGCGCCAAGGCACCGCCGCAACGAGTAGCAACCCACATTCATAAAGCCAGGCGGAAAATAGGGGGGTGCTCGCCGTCCAGGACTCGGGACCCCAGGAAGTGCTCCATGTTGTCGTGGAAGCCCTGGATCTTGGCGGGTGCCAGGGCTACGGCCTTCGAGCTCTTGCGCCTGGCGAACTGGAAGCCGTCCAACGAGCGGCGGAACTCGGTGACGTCCTGCTCCGTCGGCAGGCTGACGAACGCGTACCCGTAGTTCAACATCTTCCCCGTCTTCGTCGGCAGGTAGAAAAAGGTGTACCTGCTGCCGAAGCCGAATTGGGCGATGGCCTCGAGAACCTCATCCTGGTGGCACCGGCTCGGGATGTTCTTGATCATGACGGTGGTGACCCCATCCCACACTGCCTCGAATGCCGCACGGTCTGTCAAACGTCGATCCCCAGACTCCCCAGGGGATACCTCTGGACAGAAATTCAAAGGGCATGCGGCCGTGACGACGAAACCCTCGCGGATACCCCAAAAAGGAGGGACAACAACCAAGGACTCGGACATCCGACGTCGCGAGCAAATGGAACGTCGTGGGACATCCACGTCCAGATCCATACGTATTATCCTCCTGTAATGTTAGCACCGTGGGCCCCCAAACAGTTCGCTTCTTGCGATCTGTGCTGCGCTGTCTATGGTGTGCAATCTATGTCGCGCAATATATGTGGTGAACTTTGCGTGATACAATATATGTTGTGCAATAAATTTCTGTTCGCAGTGAGTTGTCCACTCCACTGCTCGCGCAAACATCCCACCCACCCACCCGCAACTTGGCTAGCAAAATCTCATAAGACCGCGACGGTGGGTACCAAATGGCACTTGGCAACGAAAGCGACGCCGACGACAACAGCGACAACGACGACGACGCCGCCGACAACGACTACGACGACACCGACGACGTCTCCAACGACTTCGACGACGCCGACAACGACGACGACGACGACGACACCGACGACGACGACGCCGACGACGACGACGACAACGACGACGACGACAACGACGACACCAACGACGACGACGTCAACGACGCCGACGACGACGACAACGACGGCGGCGACAACGACGACACCGACGACGACGACGACGACGCCGACGCCGACGACGACGAAGACGACGACGACGTCGCCAACAAAGACGACGACGATGGAGGAGGGAGGACGACGACGGCGACAACAACGATAACGACGACAACGACTAGGGAGGAGGGAGGACGGCGACGACGCAAACGACGAAGAAGGAGGAAGGATGGCGACGCCGACGACGACAACGACGAGATAGGAGGGAAGACGACGACGACAACGACGACGACGACGACGATGACGACGACGACGACGGCGACGGAATAGGAGGGACGACGACGAGACGCCGACGACGGACGACGACGACGAGGGAGGAGGAGGAAGGACGACCACGGCGACAACGACGACAGACACGACCACGACGCCAAAGAGGACAACGACGACGAACACGAGGAAAGACAGAGGACGACGTAGGCGACGACGACGACGACGACGCGGGAGGAGGGAGGACGACGACGACGACGACGCAAGAGCGCGCGCGCACGCTTTTGTTGAAAACCCCTGTTGCGAAGCCTTGGGTTTTTGTAGGTTTTTTGGACACACGATGTTGAAATCCTTCCGAAACTGATGGGTTTTGATGGTTTTCGGCATACGCGCGCGACGACGCGCGCGTCTGCACTTCGTCCCGTTTTTTGCACAAGATTCTCGCGACGGCACACTCGCAAGGGCGTTCGACAGATTTCGACATGCGCGCCCGCGAAGCCCGTTTAATAGCACTTTGTGAAAATCTTGGGAAACCTATGGTTTGCTTGACTACCCTGCACCGCGCCTGACCACCTCCACTGCTCGCGCAAACATCCCACCCACCCACCCGCAACTTGGTCGCAAGACCTCTTAAGACAAGACCGTGACGGTAGGTACCACATGGTACTTGTCCACGACACCGACGCCGACGACGACAGCGACAACGACGACGACGACGACGCCGACGCCGACTGCGACGACACCGCCGACGTCGACGTCGACGAAGACAACGACGACGCCGACGCCGACGACGACGAAGACGACGTCGCCAACGAAGACGACGACGATGGATGAGGGAAGACGGCGACGACGCGAACGACGAAGAAGGAGGAAGGACGGCGACGCCGACGACGACAACGACGAGGGAGGAGGGAATACGACGACAACGACAACAACGACGAAGACGACGACGGCGACGAAATAGGAGGGACGACGACGAGACGCCGACGACGGACGACGACGACGACGACGAGGGAGGATAACGACGAGGGAGGAGTGAAGATGACGACGACGACGACGACGGCGACGAAATAGGAGGGACAACGACGAAACGCCGACGAAGACGACGAGGGAGGAAAGACGACCACGGCGACAACGAGGACGGAAGCGACGACGACGCCAAGACGACGACGACGACGAGGAAAGACAGAAGACGACGACGGCGACGACGACGACGACGAGGAGGGAAGAGGGAGTTTGACGACGACGACGACGCAAGAGCGCGCGCGCACGCTTTTGTAGAAAACCCGTGTTGCGAAGCCTTGGGTTTTTGTAGGTTTTTTGGGCACACGATTTTGAAATCCTTCCGAAACCGATTGGTTTTGAAGGGTTCGGCATACGCGCGCGACGACGCGCGCGTCTGCACTTCGTCCTGTTTTTTGCACAGGATTCTCGCGACGGCACACGCGCAAGGGCGTTCGACAGATTTCGACATGCGTGCGCGCGAAGCCCTTTTGGTAGCATTTTGTGAAAATCTTGAAAAACCTATGGTTTCTTAAGATTTGCACGAGCTCGCGCGGAAGCTTTTTTAGCAAATCACTGTGGCGAAACCCTGTGTTGCACCTTTTTTGGAACTCGATTGCAAAATCCTTCTTGCACCGAAGGTTTTTGAAGGATTTCGGCATGCGCGCGCGACGACGCGCGCGTGCGCACTTTGTCCAATTTGTTTTGCAAGGGGTTTGCGAAAAAGTGCTATGTTAGAACAAGAAATGTCACCGAATAGTGTTTTTTGCCCAAGGGAACCTCAGGGGGGGATACATGATTGACTTATCCGAAAGGGGGACCGATAACTCCTGGGGGGGAGGGGGATCCTGTTCTGCTTTTAGAAAGCGACACCAACGACGTCTCCAACGACTTCGACGACGCCGACAACGACGACGACGACGACGACACCGACGACGACGACGCCGCCGCCGCCGACGACGACGACGATGACGACGACGACAACCACGACGACGACGACGACGACGACACCGACGACAACGACGACGTCAACGACGCCAACGACGCCGACACGACGACGACGAAGACGACGACGACGTTTCCAACGAAGACGACGGCGAGGGAGGAGGGAGGACAACGACGGCGACAGTGAGGACAACGACGAGGGAGGAGGGAGGACGGCGACGATGCAAACGACGAAGAAGAAGGAGGGACGGCGATGCCGACGACGAAGAAGACGAGGGAGGAGGGAAGACGACAACGACGACGACAACGACGACGACGACGACGGCGACGAAATAGGAGGGACAACGACGAGATGCCGACGACGGACGACGACGACGACGAGGGAGGAGGAGGAAGGACGACCACGGCGACAACGACGACGGAAACGACCACGACGCCAAAGAGGACGACGACGACGAACACGAGGAAAGACAGAGGACGACGTAGGCGACGACGACGGCGACGCGGGAGGAGGGAGGACGACGACGACGACGACGACGACGCAAGAGCGCGCGCGCACGCTTTTGTTGAACATCCATGTTGCGAAACCTGTTTTTTTCTTGGTTTTTTGGGCACACGATTTTGAAATCCTTCCGAAACCGACATGTCTTGAAGATTTTCGGCATACGCGCGCGACGATGCGCGCGTCTGCACTTCGTCCCGTTTTTTGCACAGGATTCTCGCGACGGCACACGCGCAAGGGCGTTCGACAGATTTCGACATGCGCGGGCGCGAAGCCCGTTTGGTAGCATTTTGTGAAAATCTTGAAAAACCTATGGTTTTCTTAAGATTTCGCAAGAGCTCGCGCGGAAGCTTTTTAGCAAATCAGTGTTGCGAAACCATTTGTTGTTGTATGTTTTTTGGGGAAACTCGATTGCGAAATCCGTCCGGCACCGAAGGTTTTTGAATGATTTCGGCATGCCCGCGCGACGACGCGCGCGTGTGCACTTCGTCCTTTTTCCCAACCATCCTGTGGTGTTGGGTCCTCGTTTTGAAGAGACGTCGCCCCGCGTTCCTCCTTCCTCCTCCTTCCTCCTCCTCCCCTTCCTCCCCCCTCCTCCCCCTCCCACACCCATTCTGGCACACCCCTCACACGTTTCGTGGCCCCATAGGGAGCTCCACCGAAGGCCCCAGTGGCTGCGCCCGCATGCGGTTCCACCCCCCATTCTGGCACACCCCTCACACGTTTCGTGGCCCCATAGGGAGCTCCACCGAAGGCCCCAGTGGCTGCGCCCGCATGCGGTTCCACCCCCCATTCTGGCACACCCCTCACACGTTTCGTGGCCCCATAGGGAGCTCCACCGAAGGCCCCAGTGGCTGCGCCCGCATGCGGTTCCACCCCCCATTCTGGCACACCCCTCACACGTTTCGTGGCCCCATAGGGAGCTCCACCGAAGGCCCCAGTGGCTGCGCCCGCATGCGGTTCCACCCCCATTCTGGCACACCCCTCACACGTTTCGTGGCCCCATAGGGAGCTCCACCGAAGGCCCCAGTGGCTGCGCCCGCATGCGGTTCCACCCCCCATTCTGGCACACCCCTCACACGTTCGTGGCCCCATAGGGAGCTCCACCGAAGGCCCCAGTGGCTGCGCCCGCATGCGGTTCCACCCCCCATGCACACCCCTCACACGTTTCGTGGCCCCATAGGGAGCTCCACCGAAGGCCCCAGTGGCTGCGCCCGCATGCGGTTCCACCCCCCATTCTGGCACACCCCTCACACGTTTCGTGGCCCCATAGGGAGCTCCACCGAAGGCCCCAGTGGCTGCGCCCGCATGCGGTTCCACCCCCCATTCTGGCACACCCCTCACACGTTTCGTGGCCCCATAGGGAGCTCCACCGAAGGCCCCAGTGGCTGCGCCCGCATGCGGTTCCACCCCCCATTCTGGCACACCCCTCACACGTTTCGTGGCCCCATAGGGAGCTCCACCGAAGGCCCCAGTGGCTGCGCCCGCATGCGGTTCCACCCCCCATTCTGGCACACCCCTCACACGTTTCGTGGCCCCATGCGGTTCCACCCCCATTCTGGCGTTTCGTGGCCCCATAGGGAGCTCCACCGAAGGCCCCAGTGGCTGCGCCCGCATGCGGTTCCACC